AGTGTTTTCTCACTCACTAGTCATTCTAATAGGACACCCAGTAGTACTTTTTCATGGCATTGATACCTGCCATTAGCTTTTTGTACATCATCTGTTTCCCCTACTGGAATCTCAGCTCCGCTACGTCAGTGGCCCAGTCTTATTTACCACTGTATATTCCCAATGCCTTGAACAGCAGTGCTACCTAGTAGGCAGTCAATAAATATTTGCTGAATAAATGACTTACAGGATTTTGCATCCTTTTTAGAATCCTTTTTAGCTTCCAAATAAGGGAGAGAACCTTGGGCTGCCATTTTAATTTTGTCCAGGCTTTATCTTTTTTCATGTCTGCCTTTTACTCCTTTACCAGCTCCCCCACGGTCACAAAAGCCCAACAGTGCTATAAAGAGTTTGGAAAGAATACTTTATTTCAAAGTCTGTGAATCAGAGGATTGTGTAAAGAAGTTACTCTAATCTAAAGGCCTCCACACCAGTGGAAAGCACCCGGTGACTCCAGAAGGTGACTGACAGACCTGCAGAGCGGCCGAGCCCTAGGAGACCCATAGAGTCCCTGAGCCAGAAGAGAAACAGCATTCGCTGTGGTGCCATCATGAGAGAGGTTCTGGAACAACTCTTCATTTTTGTAGGACTGCTAGTGTGCCTGGTCTACCTGGTAAAGTGTGTGAACTTCTCCAAATATATTTTCCTGCACTTCTGGAATGTTTTGCCAAGGTCTTTCTTGAAGTCAATGGGACACTGGGCAGGTAAAGAAAGCGTTCCATCTTTTGATTTTTGTCATTTCTGCTTATTATTGCTTATGTCTCAAAAGATACATTGCATCTTTTCCCTTTGAGAGCAAACATGTAATTCCTTTGGGTGATTTTAATTTGGGGCGTCTGGAAAAGATGAGTGAAATTAGAATTGTCTGAAAAACAAGACGCGGGGCCCGAGATTAACTAGGGAGGAATGTGACCAGACTCTCACCTACATGCCTATCTGCTCATCTTCACTAGCTGGGCTTTCTTCCTTTTGGAGTTTCTGACGATGCGTATAATAAATGTTTCAGAAACATCCACTTCTCTAGATTTTCAAAAACCCAGAGCACTATTGTTTTGTTAAAGGGTGTTTCGAAATTCTGAAATTCAAATAATTTTAATTCACTTTATTTAAAAAAAAATTTTGCCAAGCCCTTTTGAGAAGTGAGGGTATTAAAAAATCAAGGCAACAAAATCTTTGTGGAGACATCTTTTAAAGACAGTTAGATGGAGTCTGGGTCCAGTTGTTTCCCAAGTAGGTTAACTGTTGCCTCAATGGGATTTATCTCCTAGAAGTGCCATGTGGAATTTCAGCCCCATGACTGGATTTAAGGTAAAGGACATGAGGCTGTGGTTTCAGCATCTCCTTGAATGAAGTGCCGAGGTTACATTTCCAAGCTGGGCACCAAGAAATCCAATAACTTAAAAAAATAAATTGTTAATTTCCCTATCTTCCGTGGTCTTCAATTACTGCTGTCCTGTGCAGGTGGGAATGGGAAGAGGGGAGAACTCGACTTTTAGTAGGAAACTTGAACTGTCCTTACAGTGACAGTTGGGTGTACGGGTAGAGAGATAATAGGGTACACTGCTCACCCTTGGTGAACTAAGGTTTAGAAATGTCCAAAACCTTATGGGGTCTGAATGAAATATTTCCTGGCTGAGATTCTTTGCTTCATTTTGGAGTCTTCCATGGCCTCACCAACTTCTCAAAAAGAAAAGAAAGAAAAGAAAAGCTTCATTTTGAACGTTTAGTGAGGGAAGTCCAGGGCTGGAAACTTCACAGTTGAGCAGGGTGAGGCTAGGGACTAGAAAGGCTCTGCTTTGGAATATTAAGTGTCCTAGAGAGTAGCCTGCAAGAAAACGTAGCCAGTGAAAAAGAGGACTTTAAAGATTAAGTCTATCCTTTAAAATTTTTTTCTGCTTTTCCAGTGATCACTGGAGCAGGAGATGGGATCGGGAAAGCTTATGCATTCGAGGTAAGTTGTGTTCTTGGAGACTTTCTCCTTCCCTTGTATTGAACATATCATAGTCATGTGACACTCATCCTAAGCATAGTTTTCTGATTACATATACTTAAACACAACTTAAAAAATTATAAGCTACTTTTATTTATCTTTTACGTTATAGCCAGGGCATATATTGATTTTTAAAAAATTATTTCTGAATGCAGGACGTATTATCTATGGCTTTAATTTTAAAAAGATTAATGGGCATTACAAAATACTATATAGAGACAGGATTTAATAGGGCTGAGAGTCACTGAAATATAATCAGTGTCTTTTAGTATTTCTTTCCAGGCTTCTCGCTTCTTGCAGATAGATAGATAGTGAATAGATAGGTAGTTATACTTTTAAAAAATACATTTACAGCATATGTAGTTTATATGCTGTTATTATATTATTACAAATTTCGCATTTTCATTAATGAAGTATTGTTTCTTAGAATTCTTACATAGTTTATTTCTTCCCAGTATCTATTACACTGACCTCCAGAATGGTGTAAAATACAAAAGAAGAAATAGAAAGAATCCTGGAAATTATGAGGATGGCTGTTAAAAAATCAATAGCATCTTAAAAATATAATTAAATACACTTTAATTACAAAACTACATACAACAACAATGCAGAACTCATGTGCTTTTTGTTTCTTTTTTTGTCCCCAAAGGCCTGTATTATGATAGATGCAAGATCATCTTGTATGAAATGGATAGTGCAAAGTGTATGGGAGGCACTTGACAGAAACTTTTGGGACTTTAACAAACCTAAACCGTGCCAGTTAACGAAGCTCCTAGTGCTGGTCTTTTGGGTCTGCCCCCATCCTCCATCCTCTGATAATAACTTCTTTGGTACCGACATTCTGCTTCCATTGTTTTTTGCTCTTACGCTAATTCCTGTATAACAACTTTCTGATGATCAGTGGTGCCCAACACTTAGTAGATGAGTGGTCATATTTGAGTATTGAGGTTGGGGAGACCAGTCAGCAACCACTTTCCAGAGCCTTGTGTCTCTTATACCCAAAAATCAGAAGGAAAGCTTTTCTAGCTATTTGCATTAAAATGATATCACCTTTTATATAACTATTTTCTACTTGAGTCTGAATTTCTAGAAATGGCCTAATCCCTCAGAATCCAAAAAATCCATGGCCTTACCTCTCAGTTCTCTGGATTGCCAAGAAATTCAGGTTCTTTTTTTATTATTTTCCAGATTCTTTTCTCAAATTCATGCTGACCTGACATACCTGTGGTCTATTTGATATCTGAAAATGCAGACATTTTTCTTTCTACTTAGAGGAGACCCAAGTGGAAGCTCTTTTTAGCCATTGGTTTCTTTACTGTTTTCAAAAGCAATAGCCTGGGGGGTCAGGAGCTGTGGGTTCTAGTCCTTACTCTGACTCTAACTGTCTGGAGATTTTGGACAAGTTACACATCCTTTCTTGGTTTCCAGTCTTTACCAGCGCAAAAGATACCTTCCAAGAGCCTTGAAGTTCTAAATTCTGTTTCTATTCTAGATTAATTCTTGCTTTGCTTTTCTCCTTGTCGAATCTTTTTCTTCATTTCCTTTTGTTCTTTTCTAAGGCTGTGTTAGACAACTTTCTGGAACCCCTAGGTCTCCTTCTTGCAGCCTTTTCTTTTTTCCAGAGAGCCCCTTTTTGTCTCCTTGGTAACTGCTGCTCCAAAGAAAGCAGTGCAGAGTCTGGGATGCTGTAGATAGATGGTAATGGTTAGGAGCCTGCAGTTGGGAATCGATTAGACACCTTTGTGTTCAAACTGTGCCGCTGATGCTCACTGAAGAATTTCTACATCAGTTACCTGGAGATGATGACAATCCCACCTGGGCTTTTGTAAAGGTTAAATGGAATGAGGTAGGCAAAATGCTTTGCACAGAGTAAGCTCTCCAGAGTTAGCTACTATTATCGTCGAATGGGTAAACTGTATTTCCTTTCCCATATATTACTTTTTTTGAAGAAGAAGGAGAATATATTGTACTCACCCATACTTTCATTCTTTCCGTTGTCTTTCCTTCAAAAGATTCTTTTTTGTTGTTGTTGTTATTTCCTTTCTGTTTAGAGGACTTTAGCTATTCTTTTAGGGTAAGTCTGCTGGTGACAAATTCTCTTTGTTTTCCTTCATCAGAGAATATTTCAACTTCCCTTTCAATTCCGAAGGGTAATTTTGCTGGATATGGGATTTATGGTTGACAGTCCTTTTCTTTCAGCACTTGAAAAACGTTGTGCCACTTCCTTCTGGCCTTCACAGTTTCTGTAACTCTGATGTCATTTGATTTGTTTTTCCCCTTTAAGTAAGGTGTTGTTTCTCTCTCACTGCTTTCAAGGTTTTTACTCTGTCTTTAGCTTCCAGAAGTTTAGTTATGACGTTTTTTTGTGTGGATTTCATGGGATATCTTGTTCGAGTTTCACTCAGCCTTTTGAATTTGTAAGTTTATGTCTTTTCACAGATTTGGAAATGGATCCTTCACTATTGCTTTGAATACATCTTCCGCCCAGCCCTCTTCTTGCCTTTTGGAACTCTAATGACACAGACGTTAAATTTTCGTTATAGTTCAACGAGTCTCTGAAATGCTGTTCATTTTTTTCAGTGTATTTTTACTCCATTGTTTAAAGTGGGTAATTTCTATTGTTTTTAAGTTCACTGATTCTTTCCCTGGTCCCCTCCATTTGCCATTGAGCCCATCTATTGAGTTTTTAATTTTGGTAATTGTTTATTTTCAGTTCTAAAATTTCCATTTCATTCTTCTTTATACCCCCCTTTTTTTTTTTTTTTACTGAAACTTTCTGTTGTTCATTTGTTTTAATTGTGTTTGTCATTGCTCTTTAAAGCATTTTTATGATGGCTGCTCTAAAGTTCTAGTCAGATAACTCTAACATTTGTGTCTTCTCAATGTTGATGTTTGTTGTTTTTCTTTTATTCAAATTGAGATCTTCCTGGTTCTTGGTGTGATGAGTGATTTTTGATTGAATCTTGGACTTTTTGGTTTTATTTTATGGATCTCGTTTAAATCTCCTGTTTTAGGTCTGTACCAACATTGCTTCAGTGGTGGGGGTGTGGAGAGGGGCATGTTTTTGTTTCTAGCAGGTGAGGCAGAAGCCCAGGTTTTCCACTTGGCCTCCATTGAAGGATCCTGCCCCCTTGTTACTGCTGGGTGGAGGTGAGAGTGCTGGCTCTCCACTATATCACTCTGAATGGGAGGGGCAAGAATGCCTCCTTACCGCTCCCTACAAAGTCTCTAACAGTACTTGGGGAAGGTGGCCTCACTGCCACTGGGGTGATAGCAAAAGTCCTGACCCTCCACTATGCCTTCTTTGTTATCATACCATGAGACAGGAGAGGGGAGGGAGATTACGGGTGCCTTGGCACTGCCAGGTGGAAGTAAAAGTTGAGGTCTCTGCCCCCTACTCGGTCTTCTCTGATCCCAGCCTGGTAGGGGGTTGGCAGCAGCCTCACCAGGAAGAAATTCTCAGCTCCTCACTCAGCCTTTTTGGGTATGGGAGCATAAAATTTTTTCTTTCCTTCCTTCCTTCCTTCCTTCCTTCCTTCCTTCCTTCCTTCCTTCCTTCCTTCC